TTATCTATATTGAAAAGGGAGAATACAGGTAAATGATCTGTTACATCAGTACAAATTGTTCCGCTCGTACATTTGGATTCAGTAAGGTTGGTAATTATATTGTCGATTAATGTTGCAGAGTTAACTGTAATACGAGTGGGAGTTGTAATCAACTTTAATAAACCAAATGAGCAGTTTAAATTTACAAATGTATTTGCACTTTTATTGTTCGTTAAGTTTGAAAGATCTATGTTAAAATCGCCTGTAATTATTAAACTGCGACGGGATACACGAAGTAGTAGTTCATTATAAAATTTGAAAAAAACATCAAGATCTGAATTTGGCTTTCTATAAATGACTCCAACTGTGTATTTTAAAGTAGGTCCTAGTGTAATGTCAACAAATAAATATTCACAAGTTGAATTATCATAGGTGTTAAAGATATCATCCCGAACGGTGCATGTTATATCATCTTTTACAAACAGTGCAACACCTCCTCCTCTACTAACACAACCAGCCCTATCCGAATGTATGAAAGTATAACCGTGTAAGTGAAATGGAGTAACTGGTTTACCACAAATCCATGTTTCGGAAAGGGCAATTATTGAGAATTTATTTGACAATGTATCAAGAAGATTTGTAATGCTATCAAAATTTCTATTAAGACTACGGGCATTCATATGAATTAAACTGAAATTATGTTCATTTTTTACAAAAGAAGAGTTAAATTCACTGGGTGTATAACATGAACAAGTATTACCGTGTTCAAATATGCATATATCTGGATCCAAATCGTTTAACGGATTACCCATGTATTGTAAAGGCAACCAATGAAACACATCTTATATATATAATTGAAAAAGAAATCCCAGGATGCTTACAGCAAGCACATGAGAATATATACACCATATTTGGTTCAAAAAGTCTCAATCTAGAAAAATAATCATTGTTAAAACCTTCAAACTTTTTTCTTTCCACCTCCTTTGAAATAGTACTAGGAAAATTAATATACTGAGAATACATTTTGAATTCAGACAGAACAAATAACATAAAACAATATCAGTATTACATAAATATATAGATATACAAATAGTAGAAATCAAAATCTAAAACAAACATGAATATATATACACAAAGTACAAGTTTTATGTAGTGTAATACGAAATAAGTTGGATGTCCAACAGGAGTATATTTTGCTTTACACAATGAATTACAACAATTTCAAATCATCCACGCTGCGTATGAGTTTGGTAGATTTCGTACTTACTCCATTTTGTTCTTTAAGCAACGCGATTATTTTTCCGTCTTGGCTCCACGCCGTTTTCACTTTCTCATAAGGTAATATAAGTGAGTTGTACAAAGTGAATAAAATGGGAAATGGTACATGAAATTTTAATTTATATAAAACACCAATAGATTTTGATACCTTGCTTATAATATTATCGATGTGGGAATCCCAACGAAGGTTGTTATCTACGGATACTCCAAGGAAATTTACAACATTTAATTTTGATATAGATGTAGTATCAATATTTAAAGTTACCTTATCTAGTACATTGGAAACATTTTTACTCTTATTGTGAAATATACAAAAGTTTGTTTTAGAAAGATTTACTATCAATTTATTAGCTTTGAACCAAGTTGAAACCTTGTCTAATTCTTTGTTGACCTCGTGCTCTACATTATTTAAATCAGGTTGTGAAAAAATAAGAGTTGTAATAATAGTTGAGCTAAGCTTTTTTTTGGATGCAAATCCCTGATAAGGGCTTCAATACAGAGACCTTCCGATTCCGTAGGCAATGGGCCCAATGAATTAAACATTTCGAAAATTTATTTCGTGCTTTGGAACAAATGGGAAGGTGGTCAGGCACTAATAACAGACAGTGACATAACAAATTCGCTGATTTGAAATTCCCGTTTGTATGGGGTTGCTATATGCAACTATAATATATAAACAAATATAGTACTTCTATGGGAAATAACTCGTGCAATCGTTAAAAGGACACGAAATTGTCCTGCTAATGACAATTTCTACTGAATGACTCACATTTTCACTCCAAGTGTCGGTCCAATGACGCCCAAAGTTCGTTCGTTCCTGTCTCTTTAGATCAAGATTACTGTAACTTGATCTTCGGAGTAGTTGCTACAACCGGCCGTGTCTGACACGTTGCCCCGGGGTGCGAGATAAGACTCTTATAGCGTGCCCCCGTTTAAAACAATTATACAATAACAATTAACATTACATTTAATTAATAGTATGAAACTATTAAAATTACTCTCATGTTACGGGGAAAAATATTATATGTATATATATATATTATGAATCAATTTATTTGGTCGATCCAGTTCGATGGTTAAGAAGAAGAAAAAACGACTTACATCTACGGACTTGACATTGGCATGGCAAAGCCGATCTGCGCTAACTTAAATGCAAAGTAAATGAATTCGAATGACAAACTCGCGAATTTCGCAGGGAAATTTCGCCGGGAAATCCTATATAAGTAGTACTGGTAAATGAAGTAGTAGCAATAGTAGTAGTAGTAGTAGCAGTAGCAGGCGCGTACGCAGGATTTTTTCAAGGGTTTTTTTTTTTTTTTAAATCGGGCCGAAAATTTCGCATCGACTCAGCCAGCCGCTGAATAAGCGGGGGGGGGGGGGGGGGGGGGGGGGGGGGGGGGGGGGGGGGGGGGGGTAAGAGGACACTTTTTTTTTTTGGGGGGGGGGGTTTTCCAAATTTGAAAATTCGACATTTTGCTCCGTTGGGGGGGGGGGGTAAGGTCACCTTTTTTAGGTCAGCCATGGGAATATTTTTGTTTTTTTATTTTTTTTATTATTAAAAAAAAAAAAAAAAAAAAAAAAAAAAAAAAAAACCCAAAGGGGGGGGGGGGGGGGTTGGGGTTTTTTCAGGGGGGTTTATACACACAAAAATACCAAAGGGGGGAGGCCTGTTGTTACTGCTGCTACTGCTGCTACTGCTATTACTACTATTTCTACTACTACCACTATACTACTACTGCTCAGGCGCGTACGCAGGGGGGGGGGATGTTTAGGGGTTAACCCCCCCCCTTTGGTATTTTTATGTGGTTAAATACACTCACCAATTTCAAGTAAATGAGCAGTGTATAAGGTAGTAGTTGTTTATTTTACCATGTATACATACGAATTTGTACCTTTTGCTCACAATAATCATGTTTCTTTTAAGAAACACACACAAAATAAGAAACAGTACCTACAAAATGTTTGCTTCAAATCCATAGTAACTTTATTTCAAGAGTAATGCATCCATTCACAGTAAGCCACTCGTATAAACACAAAGAACATAAATAATAGCGTACATTCATTATAACAAGACATGAAAACAAGGGAAATAGAGCGGTGTTACTGCATTAAAGTTGTTTCAACTACGAAATTGATAAATATGTACAAGAACTGATAGCATGAAAAGTACCTTTTACTCAGGAAAATAAAGATTATTGAGAGTCCAATATTAGCATCACACCACTATGTCATTTAATATACAAGTATTTAAACATCGATAATTCGAAAAACACATTTTTTATTTTCATTTTGATTTCGTTTTACATATCCAGAAAGAGACCAGTTGTCATGAAAAATTAAGCCATGTTATTACCATATAACTACGAGGAGGGATGGGGATCAAGGGGGTTTAGCCCCTTCCCTTCCAATAGGAAACTTTCAATATGCGAATATAATTTCGTTTTCTTAATTACAAAACTGCTAAGCACTATAATTAGGGTGATCACACTGCCTGTGCACACAGTCTGCCCCATGCACATACACGCACACAGCAGCAGTCAGTTGGTAGAAATAGCAATTTTCGTAAATTTATTTAAAAAAAACTGAACAATATTTTTGAATATTTCACATATCTTTCAAGCATACCTTTAACTACAATTCTGTGTAATTTCATTGTTATAGGCATGTGGGAAATATGTTAAATTATTATTTAGAATATTGTCTTTTCAGCCATGTGTGACATGGCCCGCTGATCGCCCATTGACTGTTATTCTGCGTGGTGAAAATGCACGTCAATATATAAAACTCCCCTACAAAAATGCAATATCCTCATGTGTTTCACTCATTGAATCAATTTGTTATTTACACTCAAGGTAGCCACAACTGCACTGGGGTCACCAAACTTTCTTTTTTTCTAAAATTCAGTCCCTGTGGAATGTTATGGCCTGCTAAATTAAATGGTTTCTCGGAAAATCGTGAAAAATCCTCTAATCTGACATTTAAAAAAAAAAAAAACTATACTGTGATGTAGCTGAAAGTCTGCAGATTCTTATCATTTGTTCGGTTTTTCTGAATAATTTGTGAAACATATGAGTAAATAGCTGTAACGGTGATCCAAGTAATTTCCATCGCCATATTTTATTGGCATTGCAATAATATTTGGAATTTAATATTAATATTTGGTGTAAATATGATCTATAAATATATGATTTAAAAAAATGCCAACAAAATGAACAGTTTGACTTTCTTATATAATTAGCTGAAATGACCTAATTTGCGTATTTGATGAATATTCATAATTTTTTTTTTCTTCAAAATTGTTTTTTCTTTCCATACCTGTCTGATATACATAGGTTTCATTGATGTATCATGTTCGGTTTTGATTTGATTACATATGCGCATATTAATTAGACGGACTTAGTTATTTTCACAACTTTTTCATATCTGCAGATTCGCAAAAATGACTCATTTTGTTTGCTTCTGTTTTCAAAACGGTAATAGATATATGAATTTTCTTTTTTGTATTTTTTTACCACAAAGATTATATTTAGTGTCTGATAATTTAATTTATTATTTGTGTCCAGAAAAGTGATGAATTAAGTTGTCAACTTTGTCGAATTTTGCCATTTTGCCGATTTGACCATTTCTTGAAGGTTTTTCGGTAATTTTGCGATTTCAAAAAAATGGTATAAAATCACAACGCATTGGCCGATTTCAATTCTGTTTTTTGTTTTTTGAAGCTTTCATAAGGCTTGATCATTTGCAATAATCAAATAACATGTGTTTGATGTACTTATTTTTGGTGTGCTATACCTACTATAATATAATAAGGCGAATGCAATGAATTGCAGGTACGACTTCAGTCATCTACCGCCACTTAATATTCATATTCTCATTTTATATTGTCATCATATAATCCATATTTAGCAAGAAGGCGATCGATGACACGAAGTGTATAAAAGCAGGTGCTATCTACTTTACTTTAAAAAATAAACAAACAAATAAAACACATAATGCATGCAAGAACGGCATAATTTTAGGAGTTGAACACACTCTATATTCAACCTAAATTACAAAAGAATTTTAACTCCATAATACAGTCTCTGATTACAAAGAACATCTTGATAAATCATCCGTTTGATAACTACGACCTAAGATACATTATTGTACTGATAATTAGTCTCAAAAATATTCTTCACTGACCATGTTAAAGCATGCACCTACATGATTATATCAACATTTAATAGGGTAAAAGAGGCAAACAGCAGAAAACAAGTAAAAGTCAAATAATGTTGAAGAATCCGGCTGTAGACCGGATTAGCATATGCCAAATCAAAACCGGATATGACAGAAAGGCCTCTACCATATTAATTATGACATTGTTTAAATATCAAAGAAAAACCAGGAAGTTATTGAATAGCTACGATTTCGAGTAGAGGCTTATTGTTATGCCTGTGATCAAGACCAACTCAATTCTAAAACAGGCTAATGACATAAGATGTGCCAGCGTTAATAAAGTGGCGCCAAAATCGGTAGGGGAACTTCCACTCTGGTGGTTTCGACCACTGGAAAGTTGAGAACCCCAGAATCCTCGGTCCTCGAGTACCTTTCATCCGTCTTTGGTACACTAGGCCAATGAAAGGTACCAGGGGAAATAAGAATGCGACCACACCTCCTGCGCGGTGCAGTCTGACCACCACATAAATGAGGATGAGAATCGATAAGGCTAGTATTATTCCCGTGTGTTTTCTCTTTAACACCGGATGACTCTTTCCTCGGATATGGTACACTCTGCAAATGAAAGGTACATGAAGGAATAGAACAGCATGGTATGCAACCACCTCCAAAGAACGGTACAGAAACCGTTTGGCAAAAGGCAACAGGAAGATAAGTGCTACTATTGCAGAGATCAGCAGGCCAATAATTCTAGGATCACTCAAATCTATTGCGAATCCAAAGACGTTTATGACCTTTTTCTTGGGTTGTTGACATCGACGCACAAAGGCTTCAAGCTGTGTCCAATCTTCTTTGTCCATATCCACCTGATGGTCCAGTTTACCACCGATCATGGCCAGACCACAGCACTCGAAGGTAGTTGGTTGATTGTCGCGGAAGTTTACCATGTGGCTTTCTTTGATCTTGGCATGGTCTTTAGAAGAGCCAGTTGATTTCATGGGCCATGGGAAGTCATGAGCAACGACACAAACATTGCCTTTTCCTGTATCAAGACAAATTTAATAGATAAACAATCTTCAAAACATTGTGTAAACGGATTCATGTTTATTTCAAAGGCCAATTAAAGCAAGATTAATCAATGCCAACCTCTTTATTTGAATGGATATGGCTTGAACATATTGTTATTTGTATCTCATGAACAATAATGGTACATTGAGCTTAAAACTCCTCTAAGAAGGTTTATAAGAGGTTATATTTTTCTTACCGAGTTGTTGTTTGACATGAGGCAGGAACTTGTCATAGAGAGCATCCATAACATTTGTGATTGCAAAGCGACGATTTTGGATAGAATGACAGATAATCACACCATCAAGTCCTGCACATGGAAGACGAAAGCTGTCTAGATCATTGTACGGTAGTTCAATGAATCGGACTGTTACATTGGTCAGACCTGAAGCCTTGGTAATCAAAGCCTTGATGCTAGGTCTCATTGATGACGTGCAGATGCCGATTGTAACCTGTCTCGGCATGGATTGCGGTTTCTCCATCTGTACATAAAGATGAATGATCGAAAATGAAAGTGGAGTTATAGTAGGAGGAAAACTCACATACCCTGGTTGTGATGAGGACTGATGGAGGATGACAGAATGAGAGATGGAGAGATGGAGAGAGAGAGAGAGAGAGAGAGAGAGCGAGAGATCAGCATCACCAAAAGAGAGAGTAGTCAGAAGTGAAGGGGAATCGAGGCAGCTGGAATGGTAACAATCACAGTGATAACATAACATGCTACCTCTCCTGACCTTTCTACTTCAGACTCTCTAAAATCGGCCATGCGCGACTTCTTGAACATGGCATTGGTGTCATAATGAAAGGAGAGGAAATGAGCTTCCAATATAATTATATTTATCAGCAAACTTGGGTTTCCCTTTTTTTCAGGGACACGGTCTGTATTTATAACTTGTATTACTCTAAAAAAAAATAATAAAGGGGGGGGGGTTGCTCCAAAATACACACATAAAGAAAACGGAAGGGGGGGGGGGTTAACCCCCAACCCCCCCCCCCCCCCCTGCGTACGCGCGCCTGTATATTATATATATATATATATATATCACTTGATAAAGATGTAATATATGTACGTCGAAAATTCGTACCCTGCATATAAAAGCTGTCGGATTTTAAGCATGAAACTTCTCTTCTTCATCATTTTGTTTGCTCATCCAATGCCAACGCAATGACTTCATATCGTATATTATGTCCATGATAGTACATGACTATATTAACATAATGCCGGGACATACTGTTGCATTGCTCGACGTACCCTAATGCTATATTTTCCTAGATACGCCACTGCCTACACCATGAACTATTATATACTCACCATGATTGTATTTGAAATATTTCTTACGCCGGTAGGCCTATTCTGCAGATAACAATTGATGTAACGGAATTATATTGCCAGGACTCTGTAAATTGAACACAACTCGCACGCTCGAGTAGGCTAGCTAGGTCAAATTGTGTGCAAGAAGCGCGCGTGCACGTCTCTCGCTCCTCCATGGAGTCGATCAACGTGATGTCAGCTAGGTCACTGGGAAATCCCAGTTATGGTTAGTCTCTCTTCAGTGCAATGTGAAGCACATTTTATGATAGTTAATGTTTGTCAATTTTCTCTGAGATGGTGTATGTGCGTGCGTGCGTGCGTGCGTGCGTGCGTGTGTGTGTGTGAAATTGGGGATAAACATAGACAAATCAGAAAAATTTCCCTTCGGGAATGTCGTTAAAGAAATTGAGATTTTGAGAATGTATTTTGCGCAATTGTACAATTTATGTAATGAAAATGTTTTGAATTCATGTCAAGGAAAAACAACTTCTAAAACTTCTAACAATTTCTAAAATTAATTTGTATTGTTTAGAATCAATTTAAAAAAAACTATTGAAGAAAAAAAAAAGTGTGTGGTGTTTGTCCAGTGTGTGTGTATGTGAGGGTTAACTAATGTATGTCAGTATGTTTATGTGTGCATGTTAACCATTGATATAACCATTAAATTAGTTTTATCCCAACATAACATCCCACAAAAGAGAAGAAAATCTAAGTAGGCCTATGCACATAATAGCATTTGCCAGTATGGCAGCCATATTGGATTTGACCATTGTAACAGCCCAAAAGAGACCTCAATGACGGAACATCATAATCAGATTTGCTGACCATGAAACCCCATATTTTTCCTCTGAAACTACACTTGACCTTTCACTCAGATGGCGGCCATTTTGGATTTGACCAATATGACCAGTATGACAGCCCCAAGGTGACCTTGGCCGATGACCAGCGGGAAAATTACCCCCCGGAACAAAACCATAGGACAATTGCCCCCCAAGGTCAATTACCCCCTAAGACAATTGCCAAAAGATATGATTTGCGAGCCCCCCCCCCCCCACGCACACATACCACACATGCACACAGGGGTGATTCCTAGAGGGTGATTTCCGGAGGGTAATTGTCCGCGGGGGGGGGGGGGGGGTGACTTAGGGGGTTATTGTCCTCGGGGGCACTTGTCCTATGGTCTTGTTCCGGGGGGGGGGGTAATTTTCCCGCTGGTCATCGGCCGGGGGATAATATTATTGTACATGCATCGGGTAATCACCCTATAGAACCCCTCGATCGTACTCATTTACTAGTACGCCAATGACTATGTCGCAAGTGCATTTCAAACGCAGCTCTTGACTAATTTTTATTATAAAAACATCGGCTTTGATTTGCAGGATGCTGGAAGATTCTAAGTCAGTTATGAATGACGCGGTGAGTATAACCAAAATCAGATAATCAGAGTATTTTGCCTATTATACTCAGCCTAATTATATTGTATAAGCCTAGTCTTGGGTGTTCTCTACTCGAGTATGATTATTTTAACGTGAAAGGCACAATGTACGTAAAATGATATGGCGTTGGTGGTGCAGCTGCCTGATCAAATAACAAATACATGTACTTCTATTATCATAATGTTCAAAGTGCAGTCGGCCCCTATAATGTCATGTACCAATAACCGTCATGCACACAAACGTAGACATTGAGATGAACAGGGGTTTCAATTAAGGTGTCGCGTTCATCAATCAAGTAGGCGTTGATGTGGCAAATCTTTTAAACAAAATTGATGTTTATTTGGGCAAATAATCATTGTTGTCTCATTTATGAGGTTGTTATTTGAATCACTTTTTTTTGTTGGCTTGGAATATCTCAACGTACATGACTTTTGAAAAAATGTCATAGTATACCTTATACCAGGCACCTGCTTTGACCGCTTAGGCCGTAATATAAAGTTGAGTTCTGGCAATGCTCTTACATAATATGTGAAACAACCTGTTTGGAAGCAATTTGAAAGGCAGAATACGAGGTATATTAAAAGTCATTGACCCAGTGTTTGCTTGGAGTCACGTGCACTGAACAACGAAATGTGTATATGGGACTACGCAAGGAAATTTGTAGAATATATCTGTTTTAAATTCACAACTTTTCAATAAAATATGACCAGGTAAAGTCTTTATCATAGCCTATTACTAAGCATCATCAAAGTTAATTTTCTTAAAAATAAGGGACAACTTATTTGCCAATCACATAATTGTGATACATCATTCAACGTATTTCAGAAGAATTGGGGGATCATTATGAGTGTAGATGAGAGGATGAGTTTTGAGAATTATTGATAAAGAGGATTTAAAAGAGGACTCAAAAGGAACCTTGGGGTACACCGCAAGTAATAGGGCCGTGCGTTTGAGGTATAATTATTAATAGCAACACATTGAGTCCTGTGAGACAGGTAACCTCTGAACCACTCCAATTTACATAATAAGAAAGTTCGTTAGGTAGAATTTCATGGTTAATCGTGTCAAAGGCCTAGGAGAAGTCCAGAAAGAAGTGTGAGATTTGCTGTCAATTGTCTTGGCGACATTATCAATTAATAAAATAATCACATGCACTGTTGAATGTTCCTGACGAAAACCAAACTGAGAGTTGTTCAATATATTACAAGTCTTGAGAAACTTAATAGTTCGAGAGTATACGATTTTGTTCAAGAATCTTTGAAACTGAAGTCAACAGTGATATTGGACGGTAGTTGCCCAACTCATCCTGTGTCATTTAAAAAAAAAAGAAAAAAAAAAAAAAGAATTGTTTGTATGTGTGTGTTTATTTTGTGTAACTGTTATTAATTCGACTTTGTATTTACTTTGTATTTGTTACTTGTATTTCTCTCTTGGAGGGCCATCCTCACAGGGCATTTACGTCTATGCATGAAGTCGCTAATATAAATCTCTACATGCGGATATTGTGTTGACTCTATCTTTGATTAGGTTCATGTTGTTATTTGCAACTCAGTCTTTATGTGGTATGTGTATTTCAAGCAACCAGATCACCATGGCTTACATTGGCTTATTCAACGTATCATTAGCAGCCTCCCTCCCCCGATTTATCAATTTCTATGATACGCCTCTGATTTTCCAATTTAGTCTGAATTAATAGTGTGATTTATTATAGGTAGGGCTTATCATTGTGAGTTCTTACCGATACAAAACTCAATATTTACGTGTCTCTCCATGGTAACCAGAACAATAAGTCATCTTGTGGATAATGACTCCACTTTAATTTTTTTTTTTTTTACTGTTATACATGTATAATGTGTTGCCATTTAGCCCAATTAATGGAAGATGAATTGCAATTATTATATTTTTGTGTAGAAACTGCATAATTATAATGATACAATTACCCTATGTTGTTGTGGGAGAGCGGCGAAAGAAGCAAACTAGTTCAAAGAATAAGTTCCCATTTTCATTTGTAGTTCTCCTTTGTAAGAGGATTAAAAGATATTAGAGTTTGTACTTGAAACAGCTCTTAAAAAGTTGCTGCTTTCCCAGGACGCTATACATAATTCATAAATATATATTTTTTTCTCGATAATAGTGATGTGTACATTTTTGTAATATGGATTGGGTGTGTGACTGTGTAGGTTTAATATACCCATCCCACGCAGCACTTAACATTTTGTTTCTTTACTTTTAAACTTAAATAAAGTTGAGTTCTGGTCATGCGATTATGTTGTGAAAGAAACGGTGTGGAATCGATCAGAACTGATTGATCATCTAGCATATAAGTATTCGTGTGTATTGCATGGTTCTGGAATCATCAAAATGATCAGAAATTTAGTCAAGTCTTGGTAAAGTTACACGCACTGTACACAGAAGGATGTATACGGGACTACACGAACACGTGGCGTAAAAATCCGTCCCGATTTGCACGACGTTACATGCCATATTTAGAATATGAAGGCATTTGAAGAGCCATGCTTCTCAGGGAACATGTTTTGTCTGATGTTCTTCCACCCTTGCATAATAACAATGATAACGCTCACAAATGCACCTCTTCCCAGAACTCAACTTTCTCTTTAAACTAACCATTTCGTTCATGAAGTCGACTAACTGGTAATCATGTTCATTGTGCTCATTGCCTGATTCCATAGTAAAGTATTGTCATAATTAATAATTAATGTACATGGCATAATTTATATATAGCTGGTTGTAAAAGTGTATAGAGAAAGGCAATAGTTCAATCTGACGTTATCCAAATCATACAAACTGTCATTTTGTTATAGAAAATACAATTTCCAGGGAATCCAGTGACACATGCACTCAGAGAGGATGTAAAATAAATCGAATTGAATATCTAATGGATTTCAATAGCTTTGTAAATAGACGAACGAACATATGTTTTGAAATTCTAATACAAATTACAAACAAAAACTAAATTGAAAAAAATGAATGAATCAATCAATCAAACGAATGAATGTATGAATGAATAATATGACCGAACTACTGAAAAAATGCATGATTAATGAGTGGATTAACGCTAAGCATAATCAAAAATTAAAGTATACATGTATAATCCTAAGACAGTACAGTGTGTGATGCAGTTGTAATGAGAAATCCAACGCAGACTCAAAGGCACCACATTTTACAAGATGCTACGTGGATTACATTTACTTCAGAACATAACAAACATATACTGCTGTTCTCTACTCTAGATTCAACATGTTAACATTGAGTCACTAGATATATAGATATATGTTGTGTGTACACTCGTGATAAAACAATCTTTGTTCTGTAGCTGTACAAAACGAATTGAAAGATTTTATCCCCAGTTATAGACTATTCCAAAGTTGAGATCCTGCAAATACGATCAAGTTCCATAAATGATTTATTCTCTTATTTTTGAATAAGTTTATATCATTAAAACAAATGTTTAGCCTGTGTGAATGCAAATATGGAAGCTACATTCACCAGTTTGTTGTAGTGTATGGCCTTGTAGAAATTAAGAAAGTGAGAAAAAAGGTTGGAAACCCTGTATTCACGTAATGAAGCTTTCAATCGAAACAAATTTAGTGAAAGGAAATTTAAAAAAAAAATGAGTAGATTTCATTTGTATTTTTCTAGGCTTTTCACCTCTCAAAGACAAATTTCCATTTTTTTAGGATGTGATTTTTTTGTTGGCACGTAATAGTACCAAGTGAAATGATA